AACTGGCCTCTGTAGTTCAGTTGGTTAGAGCTCGACAACTGGCCTCTGTAGTTCAGTTGGTTAGAGCTCGACAACTGGCCTCTGTAGTTCAGTTGGTTAGAGCTCGATAACTGGCCTCTGTAGTTCAGTTGGTTAGAGCTCGACAACTGGCCTCTGTAGTTCAGTTGGTTAGAGCTCGATAACTGGCCTCTGTAGTTCAGTTGGTTAGAGCTCGACAACTGGCCTCTGTAGTTCAGTTGGTTAGAGCTCGACAACTGTCTCTCTGTAGTTCAGTTGGTTAGAGCTCGACAACTGGCCTCTGTAGTTCAGTTGGTTAGAGCACTGCACCGGAATCACAGGGCGGCAGGTTCGATTCCTACCAGATTGGCCTACACTTGTTATTTGTCGCCCGTTACTTCGCACTCTCTACTGCCCCCGTTCTATGTTTCGATTCCTTAAAGTGTTGAGTTGATGTAAATATATGTATAATTTCCTTATTTCTGTTAGAGATATTGTTCAGACCGTGGTGGTTGCATATCCACCACCCAGAACTGTTCAGATGGTGATATTGTGAGCTGTATTAATATGACAACTCCTTGTTATGAAAATGGAACTTTACATTGCGTGGATGTCTTGAATTACACATGTGGTAACATGACTTGTGGCAATGACACGCAGTATTGTCCAACGAAGAAGGAGTAAGTACACTGAAGGATTCATTGATAATTAGAAATAAAGCCATGTTGCTACCTCAGTTGTTGCTACATGGTGCCATACTTCTTTTGATTACGTTTCAATTCCTGCAACATGCCTTCGTCTCTACTTTGAGGTGTTGGCGCCACAGTGGATTGGTGTATGCGTGCCTCTCTAACCTCTCTAACGTGATTTTGCTTGAAGAAGGCCTCCAATCCCGAGCCAAAGTTAGCTCAGCTCTGACTTCCCTCTGAAGTAACACTGGACCATTATTGTTCCAGTGTTACTTCAGGAAATGATCTTACAGGACCTCTGGGGAAAACAGTTTAGAACTGTTCCAGGAGATGATCTTACAGGACCTGTGGGAGAACAGTTTAGAACTGACAGACCTTTGTAGTGGTAATAAAGTTAGTTTAGTTTACGTCTCCCCCTACAGTAACACTGGATCAATAAGGAATGTCCTTCACTATACTCTAGCGAGAACAGTTTGAAACTGATAGACGTATACTGTATCCAGAGTAAAAATAAAGTTATTTTAGTTTAGGTTTCCTTCTGTAGTAGCACTTGATTAACAAGGGATGCTTAGTTTTCCAAACTATGCCACATCTATGATCTTTTGAACTTGACCAAATTAAAGTTATTTAATCAACACTTTTTTTTATTTCCACAGATGTATTGACATGGACGATTACTGCTGTACAGAACAGGAAGAGAGTTGCGTGGATGTCGTGAAATACAAATATTTCTTCTCGCGTGGTGAGACGCTTGATTCCATCTGTCACCTTCTTGCCGATGACGGCAACTTCACGGCGAACTACACCAAGTTAAAATACACCAACCCTCTGGAGGATGATAAGATGTGTGATAACGGAACCTATTTCTGTCCTTTGGTCCTGCACTGTATTCCAATGAATCATACCTGCAACCCTGACCGCGTTTTTGGAATGAGCGCTGATGATATATTTGAAGAAGAATGTGGTGCAAATGAAACATTCTGTTCCCTCTACTTGCATTGTATTCCATCCACCCAGGACTGTTCTTATAGAGCGCTTTTTGATTGGCACGATGCAGGAAACAAGTCTGTTGATCTGTTTTCCCAACCATGTCCCCTAAATCAGACCTTCTGTCCAATCACGTTCATTTGTGAGGACAGTTGTGATCCTCGGGTTATTATGGGTAACAAGAGTTGCAATGGAACAGAAGAGGATATGTGTCGTAAAGACATGGAATGTGGTGTCAACGGCACGGAATGCAAGGGGAAACTCAGTGCAGCGAATTTCACCAATGTAACGGACGCCACTGGGTCTGGTAAGTGTAACTACTTCTTCATGTATTGGTGGCTTTTAGTAAGTGTCTTGTATGTCGCTACATATGGTGGTTAACCTTAAATACATACGTACATCAATTGTGTTCATTTCACTCCCTATCCGGGCTTTTCAGTGATCGATTACATCATCAAATAGTACGCTTATTTATATTACCTATTTAGCCTAGACTATTTGTCTTTACATTGTTTACAACAATTGTTATATTGATTTTTTTTCTGTGTTGGTGTAATGTACTCAGGTGAATATGATGCTTGTGATGTTACGTATGGGCTAGTATTCCAAAGGTCGTAGGTTCGATTCCCACCGTGGTCAGGCTTATTTTTCTAGCTTGCCTGGTGTGGATATACTCTCAGAGTAACATCACAAACATCATTGTTATTATACAATTACTTTATGGTTTCCGTGTTCGGATGGCCTGATCCAAACACGCGGGAATGTTGCGAGGGTTAAGAAAAGCGAGCGAAATCACGAGCCGAAGGCGAGTGATTTTGCCCGCTTTTCTTAACTCGAGCAACATTCCCAAGTGTTTGGATCAGGCCATCCAAACAGGGAAACCATAAAGTAATTGTTTTATAAAATAACAACAACACGATAGTCTTCCGTGTTTGGATGGCCTGATCCAAACACGGCTTTCGACCAATCAGAATACGCGTTATGTACATGTTATTTTATAAATTACTTTACTAACATCGCTGGATTGTGACTGTATAGCGTGCTGATCACTGGATTGTGACTGGATGACATGATGAGATTTTGTGTTGTGAAGATGATGTGTTGTAGGTACTGAGTTACAGTTATAAGTAGTTACTGAGGTGTATATTTGTTTTCAATCAACTTAGGTTGGCTCGAAACATGCAAGTATCGAAAACTGATCAATTCTGTCCTTTGGGAAAAGGCAAGCGAGTGTAAACCGCATGCTGAAAAATGCAAGAAAAAGGAGGAGTGTGATTTTGAGATATGTGAGAAGCTGCACTACATGAACAACACTGAATGGATCTGGGGGAAAATAAAAATGGAGGGTAATGCTACTGTTTGGATCGGCAGCTGTAACTTCACTGTGAATGCGCATATGATGAAGGGCTGTAATTTGACCATGGAGCACAAGAATATGAGCTGTGATCCTGAAAGGTTGTGTGACATTTTGGAAGACAAAAAGGAACATGGGAATATGTCTATGAATGGCACTATGTGGATTGAAGAATGTAATATCACCATTAATGCTTCTGCCAAAATGCACGAATGTAACTTCACGAAAGATCACAAGAACATGTCCTGTGATCCTGAAAGGTTGTGTGACATTTTGAAAGAAAAAAACGAATATGGCAATATGTCTATGAATGGTAGTATGTGGATTGAAGATTGTAATGTCACCGTTAATGCTTCTGCCAAAATGCACGAATGTAACTTGACGAAAGAGCACAAGAACATGTCCTGTGATCCTGAAAGGTTGTGTGACATTTTGAAAGAAAAAAACGATTATGGCAATATGTCTATGAATGGTAGTATGTGGATTGAAGATTGTAATGTCACCATTAATGCTTCAGCCAAAATGCACGAATGTAACTTGACGAAAGAGCACAAGAACATGTCCTGTGATCCTGAAAGGTTGTGTGACATTTTGAAAGAAAAAAACGAATATGGCAATATGTCTATGAATGGTAGTATGTGGGTTGAAGATTGTAATGTCACCATTAATGCTTCTGCCAAAATGCACGAATGTAACTTGACGAAAGAGCACAAGAACATGTCCTGTGATCCTGAAAGGTTGTGTGACATTTTGAAAGAAAAAAACGATTATGGCAATATGTCTATGAATGGTAGTATGTGGATTGAAGATTGTAATGTCACCGTTAATGCTTCTGCCAAAATGCACGAATGTAACTTGACGAAAGATCACAAGAATATGTCCTGTGATCCTAAAAGGTTGTGTCACATTTTGAAAGAAAAAAACGAATATGGCAATATGTCTATGAATGGTAGTATGTGGATTGAAGATTGTAATGTCACCGTTAATGCTTCTGCCAAAATGCACGAATGTAACTTGACGAAAGAGCACAAGAACATGTCCTGTGATCCTGAAAGGTTGTGTGACATTTTGAAAGAAAAAAACGAATATGGCAATATGTCTATGAATGGCACTATGTGGGTTGAAGAATGTAATGTCACCATTAATGCTTCTGCCAAAATGCACGAATGTAACTTCACGAAAGATCACAAGAACATGTCCTGTGATCCTGAAAGGTTGTGTCACATTTTGAAAGAAAAAAACGAATATGGCAATATGTCTATGAATGGCACTATGTGGGTTGAAGAATGTAATGTCACCATTAATGCTTCTGCCAAAATGCACGAATGTAACTTGACTAAAGACCACAAGCCCTGCAATATCCATGAATTGTGCGATGACTTAGTGAACGAGATAGAAGAATATGAGAATGGGAACAAGGTCAATGAGACTGTCACTCTCGGTGATTGTAATATAACACTGAATGAATATTTTCACCAAATTTGCACGAAAAATCGCTCCTGTGAGATACGTACTTTGTGCAAGTCTTTGACAGAGAATAACTACAATCAATCTAAGATCAACACAACAATTCGTGTGAAAGGCTGCGATGTTGTATTTAATCAAACGGTGATCGATACTTGTCAAATTTCATTCCATCATTGTAAAATTGAAGACCTCTGTCCAAAATACCGTGAACTCGCTGTGAACCATACCAAGAAATCATTTCCAAAGATGGTCGAAGGATGTAAAGTTGATTGGGAAGAAATGAAACAATGTCGTAATATTACATTTAAGAATGATTCGTGCGAAGTCCATGAACTCTGTCACTTTCTTGACGATGCTTTGCGAAGATACAACAATAATTCGGCTATGAATGAGAGTGTTACAGTTGGCAATTGTACTATCAATGTGGATAGGAACGTTTATAATATTTGCATCAACCATAGCTGTGAACTGAGTGAGCTCTGTAAACCCCTGCGTAAGAAACTTGATAAAGAGCGTGATTGGAGTAGGTCGATGATGAACAGTACTATTGAAGTGAAGATGTGTTATCTTACTCTCAACCAAACCGTCCTTGAAGAGTGTAACATTACAATGGAAAAGAACGATTCTAAGAAATGTAAAATCAATAAGCTTTGTAAGCGTATAATAGAGAACAGCTACAATAGTTCCATGCTAAACATGACCATTCACATTGAAGAATGCGAGATTATGTTTGATAAAAAAGTTGTGGATGCGTGCAACATCACATTCGAGCCACCGTGCAAAGTTGAAGATTTATGTTCCAAATATCGAGCGCTCGGACAAAACCATACCAAATATTCCTTCCCGAAGTATGTTGGTGAATGCAAAGTAAAGATGGATGAATTTGAACAATGTAATGTCACCTTGCAAGAACTTACAGATTACCGCTATGAGATGTTCTACAATAGCTTTAAAATTTCAGCCAGTGTTAAGAAGAGTGTGTCGCACATTGCAATACGTGATGTTGGTATGGCGAGCCAATACGGACATTGGGAGTATGAGAACAACGGGACCTGGACACCACTCGGCCCAGTTTCCTCCAACCATTCTATAGTACTCGCTTCCGATATTCGTTTGAGGTAAGATAGAACTGCGTGTCAACTTTTATTTGATAAAACTAAAATTGCTAATATCGTGTTTCACACACTAGTATATTTGCCTTAGATCTTCACCCCAATCACAAATCATACACAATTAATTAGTCCTTCTCACGAAGGCCAAAATCCACCATTTTGGGGGTACTGTCTGCCCTCGTGAAAGACTCTAGGCAATTTAAACATTGATTTACGAGCATGTCTTGATGTCTTTCTTAGATTTGTGGCGAACGACTCTTCATGGCAGAAATGGCACGGTCTGGCAACCTTGATGTACACTCCAGTGATGAGTAAACCTACAGGAAGTCGTGTTGATGTCTCTGATATCCTTCATGATCCAAGAAATACCCTAGCATTCCTAAAATATCCCTCACGTCCTGTGGTCAAAGTTCTGGGCGTTGTTAATTCCTACACTGTCGGTGAAGACGAACAAGGACCAGGATTTATGGTAGGCTATGAAATATTTACCTCCGACAAGAGGTTATCTTTTTATCCGCGCTTGCATGTGTGTTTATTTGTTTGTTTGTGTTATTTTATTAGAACCGTATTTCTTGAGTTTCAATCACGTGATATTTTAGCATAATTTCACTCGGGGGGCAATCATTGAATTGAGATCAACTAAAATAACAAAGAAACAAAATGGCTGTCAACGCATCTTATGTAAATGAGTTCTCCGATCATTATAAAAGTTAATATAAAACAATTATAAAAGCCGTCCTTTACCTTTGATACATACACGTGACCCGCACGTGACGTCATATGAAACGCGAGAATACGAGGTTTGTTTAAATTACAATAAACCCTATTCCGAAAACGCCATATTTACATCATGTCATTCCACCAATACTGGATATTAGGTGAGATAGAAATACCCCCAGCCTGGTCAGCGCCTCGTGATACACGTGTTCTTCATGTGTTGGCCTTTGAGAAGGAGGAAAAGCGCGAGGGGCCGGGAAACACAGGAAAAAACAACCAGATATTATGATAATTTTTAGATGATTAGGATGATGGAGGCAGGTTTGTTGGATACAACAATGGATGTTCCAGTGGATGGTAACATGTCAGAATATTTTGAACACTTGGATTCTAAAGTGGTTAAAGACTACAACGAGACTGTGAAATGTTTTAAAAAATTTGAAGTCGCCATCGCGATCATTGATGTAGGCAAATCATCACAAGGTTTGTTGTCAAAACATTGGAAATATTGTCCAACTTATAGCTTGGGTTGAAACTCACATTTTTTACCACACAGGCCGAAAATGTCCTTCCTGGGGGGCTAGTAATGAAGATCCATTGTATAATGTTACTACAGGAGGAAACCTAGACTATTGAGAAAAGTTCCAGGACCCAATTTAGAGTAGAAATTGGCCCAACTCGATATGCAAGCGTTGCATACAAGACGTGATAATCTATATTTTGCGGCGACGTCTAAAACTTCTGTGGGATTTTAATTGTTAATTTCTGCTCATTTTCTTGCATTAATATGATAGTAATAGCCGTCCTCGTTGCACATTATCACTCTTCATTTATTATCCCTCTTCATTATTTATTATCCTTCTTCATTATTCATTATCCCTCTTCATTTGTTTGCAGGAACGTGGGAAGTGAATAAACGCAAAGTGTCCGCTAGCATGGCTAATCCTCATGTTGTTGCGCCACGTGACTTGCTGCGGTTTATCTCAAAGGAGAACGTGCACGGAAAGTCGTTGTTGAAGTTCGTGCCTGTTGCATACAGCAATTGTTCCGGTCCTGTCAAGGCAGAATATGGAGCCCCTGCTCCATTTGCGCATGCGTTGAATGGGGTAGGTTTGTGTTATTTTATGCTCTACTTTCAATTAGCTGGAAGCTTTTCTAGGAAAGTTGCATCATGCACTATGTTATTTTCCGAACAAATTCTAGGAAGGTGAAAGCTAGCTTGCACTAATTTTTTATATTTTTTTTTCTGTTTATCCTGATTTTTTTCAAATGTTCGTCAAAATTATTTTAACATATCCAAGCTGAATCAAATCAAAGTTCTGCCAAAGTTAATCACGAAGTATTTTCACCTCCGTGCTAGGTAATGATGATACAGAACACGTCAAAACAAGTCAGAAAGTTGGTAGAGTCAGCTCTAAGACTCATGACATCGACCGACCTCTACAGCCTGGCGAACTTTAACGGCGCTGTTGATAGTTTGGTTGCTTCTACACAAGACAAGAACAAAGTTAAGGACATCGCTTCTGAGGCGTTTGATGCAGGTACTTTATACTAAAAACTCATTAATAATTGATGAGGAAAAGACTATGGAAATCACTGCCGTGTCGGTGGTTTTATATGTAATAAAAAATCATGTTCATTTACATAAACTTTAACTTGGATTTTTCTTTAATTTTTCTTTTCAGTAACCTTACCACGGGAGAAACCCCGATCTGGCCTGCCTAGATCCCTCGACGTCAAAGGCAGCCTGGTTTTCTTAAACAATCCCAAAGTGTACATATTTAATGTTTCCGTGACACCGACAAACGACCAACCGGAAGTCGAGACCCCCCGAATTTTCCTGCCCGCTATTGCCTACAACGTTACAACCCGCCCTAACGCAGGCAAGGTTGTGAAAGACCTACTCATTCAGGCACGCGCTTCTGATATTGACGGGGATAAACTCGGGATTGCAATTGTTCAAGCTTTGAATACTAGCATTGGTTCATGGTATTATAAATCACCTTCAGGAGTTTGGACTCAAGTCATTGTGAACAATGCTGAGTATTCTGACGGCCTACGTGGTAATGTTTCGGCCATGATCTTAAACTCAAGCTACCTTCTTAAATTCCAAATGCATGATGATGATATATTTTGGAACAATGTGGAAGCGTCACAGCAAGCCAAAATTGTTTTCCTGCCTTGGGATGGTTCCGACAACGCTACGATTGGTTTGCGCAGTGTGGTGCCCAGGCCATCCAAAGATACTGCTGCATATGGTAGAACGTCTGTGACGGCAATCGTACAAAGGTTTGGTTGTGATGGACGCCCGGGGTCGAAGGGGAAAAATGATCGATGCGGAGTTTGTGGGGGAGATGGTCAATCGTGTCTAGGATGTGACGATGTTCTCAACTCTGGGGCTGTTTTTGGTAAGTTTGTCTGTCTGTCTGTCTGTCTGTCTGTCTGTCTGTCTGTCTGTCTGTCTGTCTGTCTGTCTGTCTGTCTGTCTGTCTGTCTGTCTGTCTGTCTG